TATATATATGGAAGCGGACTATAACGCATGTCATTCTGATTAAGAACAGTAATAAAGTTCGCCATATCTTGTAAATACTTTGCTCCTTGTCTGTAAAAGGTGGACATCACTGCTGTGAAGCTGGATGCTCCTACTCAGTGAACGCCGCCTCACATGGAGCCATCTCAGCTGCCTTGAGTGAAAAACAACATTCTCCGCAGTTCCACCTCATTTTCAGCTCATGTTGAGCTCATTGTTGAAGACTTTTTGTTTGGCACATTTGCCAAAAAACAAAAATAAATCCTACAACCACTAAAATCTGACATCACTCCATGTTTGTTTACATTTTGTGAAGAAGGAAGTTGCACTTCATGTCTTCTTCTGAGGTTATCGTGTCGATTCTTTAAGCGGTTTTTGGTGCAGCGCCCCCACAGGTGAGGGAGGGAACAGGTGGTTCACAGGGTTTAGTTCATTTGACAAAGTGCGGTGTGAATGTGAACCGCACCAAGTGAGATTGTAAACAAAGCTTGCAATTTTGGTCCCCAATCGAACCGGGTCTACTGGACTATCAGGTGTGAATACGACCTAAGGCTTTATGTTTCTAAGGAATTCTTGTACAAACTGTTAAACTTGTGCGAAGTTAAGAATGATTTCAAGTCTTTAGAATGGCAAGTACCATAGATAAATCTTTAAGTATATAATTAAATCTTTTCCCTTTAACTACCAAAGATACCTCTGCCATATGCTGCAACTGGAGCTTAAAACAGCACTTCTTTTCTCCAACTTTTCAGTTCACAAGTCTTATTTTCAAAATGCATCAGGCTTCTGTGCATGTTCGCTTGCAAACGTCTGATGCAATATTGTGTATTGAGATGTTCTTCTACATATAATAAAAAGTCTAAGAAAAGGACTGGTAAAGCAGAGTCCATCAAATGGCCTTTTAAATCTAAAGTCTTAATGTCCGTGATTTAAAGCCATCTTTTTGTTCAAATACAACATGCCATAACCATGTTGCATCATCAGAATACTGTGCAAACAGTGTGTTGTTGCCCATTATGCTGAGCAGCCATTATGTTGTTTTGGTAAAGCATTGTGTCCATTGGTTTATCACAGCCAGAATGACTGACTTACTCTTCTCCTCCCGCCTGAGCTGTCATTAGTCTACTTTACCTCTGACAGACAGCTCCTGCCCCACTTCTCAGGCCTAATAAAGAGCATCTGATTGGCTGTTGTTCAGTGTGCTTTATTGGACTGCAAAGAAGCAAAACAGACCTGCTCTGCTTGGCTACTGTGATCTCACACACAGCTGTGCCATTATAACAACGAACCTACTGTGAGTTCAGCTGGCAGCGAGTGTGACACTGTATACGCCCAAACAAATAGGTCACTAGTCACCAAGAAGCATTTAATTACAACCTGCTTTTTCATCTACAGATATGTTGTTAAAATTTTAGCTCCCTTGCTGCTTACTACCAGCTCTTTAAAGATCCCTTTCATCCCTTCGGCTTGCAAAAAGATGGACCAAGTTTCTCCACTGGGGGTAATATGTATTTTCCAGGCATATAGTTCAATTCTGTTCCATAATCAAGTAACTATGCTACCTTCAGTTGTTATGATGCTGTATAAAATTAAAATAAAATAAATAATAATAACAAATTTGACCTTGCATCATAGTCTTAAACACTTGGTCTTTTTTAAGAACCTCCTACCGCTTCTGACACTCCCACTTCAGCATGCCATTACAACAATGCTTCATGCAGTTTACAACCTTTCGTAGAAGTGCAGTATTTTGTTGAAAAAAAAAGGCAACACTAATGGTATTGGTTTTGGAAAGTGGCAACTCGGGAAACAGCCGAACTTTATTCAAATGATCCCATGTCGGACCTGGAAAGTACATTTTTTGAGAAGCCGAAGCGAGTACAGAGGCTCTTAAAATGTTTCAGCTTGGTAACTAATCTCCCAGTCATCCTCTCAAACATAAATGTCAATATTAAGCTACTTTTTGCAAAGAAACTATAAATATAGATCATTATGAAGCTATGTTTTACAATGACATCGTGAAATTCCAGGTTTATTCCCATTAGTTCCTGTCAATTCCCATGGAAAGTTTTCTAACTTTGTAAATTCCCAGACTTTTTTCAATCCAAATTAGATTTTTTTTTATCTGTATCAACATTTCATTATCCAGAAGCACAAAGCTGACAGCTTAAGACTCTGCATTTTTAATTTATTTATTTTTTAGTTTTTCTTTTCATGTCTCCAAATCTAACTTTTGGCCTGGAAAAGAAGATACAAAACAGTCTTTTCTCTCCGCCTCTTTCTGTTCTATCCGTCCAGACCTCTAATAGCAGGGTAGGATAACTGAGCAAGAAACAGGCCAGGGTTACCCCAGTGACCCAAACGCTGCAGGACAGGGGGTTGGAGTTTTGTGTGCGTGTGTGTGTGTGTGTGTGTGTGT